GATATGTTAGATATGGCACCATTGTTGAAACCAAACTCAAGATTATCGTGTCAAATCATTCTCACCAAACATTTGAATGATATCACCGTCAAATTACCGAAAGTGACAAGGAATTTCTATGTGGACGGTCATGTTCCTGAACCGCATTAATCGTTGCATCTCTTCTTCATCAATATTAACTGTTTTCTGGGTGCTCGATTTTCCATTATTTTCTCGAATTTTTTGAAATCATGCTTCATAGTCTTTCCTTCGTTATCAATTCAAAATGTGGCGGCGCAAAAATTGGTGATAAGCGGTAGTATTACCTTGAAGTGATCATTTCATAGTGAGTTTACGAAGCATTTCGTATTTTGAACGATTATTTTCAGTTCATTTCATACCTCATGTTGTGATTACTTGTTTTATTGAAGATTGAAAATAATTATGAATTAGAGGAATGCCTTCATTTATGTCAATGGTTTTGTAAATTATGTCGCCACTATTATATAGATTGTATTCAATGGATGTATATTTGCTTATTCATAGTTTCACGTTGTACATTTTCAATTCATTCTCCAAAATTTGCATGCCAAATTCACTGCTATTTGTAAGAGAAGAAAATAAAGACGTTTTAAATGCCGTATAATTTAATATCACTCAAACGTATGGTATACATTGGAAACGAGAGAATTGCGTGTAATCTATTAGAGTCAATGTGAGATTTGTTGCTTCTTAGGTTGCCGTCATTCAAAGTTTTCTTTTTTCTGATTTTCCGTTATCCACATCGAATAAAACGCACAAAAACAGTGTAATTAGCTGTACGTGAACATAATACGTAGTGAAAACAACACATTTTTATCGCGGAGATCAGTTAGGTCAGTGAAATATGAAGAGAAACAAAGAGGATATGCTTACTACGGCACGCAGATAGGATCTCGAGGCTACTCTGCATAAGCCAGGCGAACAGGCTAAAAGTACGTGTATATAGCCTCATCATCTTTGTGCAGTTGTTGAGTGTGTAAGCCACTGTGTTCTTTCCGTTAAACTATCGCAAACGTTTTGTGCAAACGAGGAATATCATCAGTTCAACTCATGTTTTTTTTGCTCAACTATTGCATCTTACTGACTGTATTCGTTGTGCTGAATCGTCCAACGTTATGCTCACCTGAAGAACCCGAGGTATGCTTGCTCACGTCATCTCTTGGAGACAGCCAAATAGCACACTCAATAGAACCTTGATCACTGTTCTTCATTATGATTATAATGCAATATTTTATTTCCTTATGAGTGAAGATCACGGATTTAGTCAGGANGCATTCGAATATGGGCTATATGGGAAGTGCGATTTGAGAGCGTCGATTTTACATGATAGCATCAAGTCGATGAGACTTTGAAAAAATTTCTTGACTGTTTGTTCAACAATGGAATATACGTAATGGAGTGTATTTGGTGGCGTTAGCATGATAAGCCCGATGTCGCTCTCAAATGTCTAAATGTTAGCTTGCAGATAACCTTCGAGGATTTATATCAATATGGTAAAGATGAATATACAGCAAGGAATTGGTATGATTGTACAGCATTCATGCGAAAAGCATTGGAAGATTTCGATTATTTTGTTGGCGAAAATGATTGGTGTAGAGAAAAATGTTCCAGATCAATGAAGGGTCGAGAGAAACAAGATGCTGCAGCAGGTACTGTTGTGTTACTTGTCATTTGCAATCAGTAACCACCAAAAAGCATTTGCAGTGAGTGAAGATGCAGCAGAAGGAAGTGTAGAAATAAGTTGGATGTATGCAAAGGCTCAACAGGCGTTGTGTTTGTTCCGCTGTAAAGCCGAACGCTTCACCGCACTTCGTCCACCACTCAAAGATCCAGCCATTTATGAGGATTTCGAGAATCGTAGACCCTATTACTATTTGCAGTTTTGCTATTGGAAGGTAGGACGCAAATTAGCGATCTAACTTAAATCTGATTGCTTTAAAGATGGTTTCCTCGATGAATTAATCAGTATCTTTGGACATTTTCTATATTGTTGGTTAATGCAGCAACACGATCTGAAGTCAGCAGTGCAAAGCGCGTTCACTTATTTGGTGGCTAATCCGAATGACACTGACGCACTGACTAATATGGCATTTTATATGGAACGAGATGGATTCGAACAAGGAATGCTCGTTGATGCACGCCAAATGAAATATGAGGTGTGATTTGCATAAGTCATCGAGCATTCACATTATGATGGTTGTATTTGAGTGGAGCAATTCAATTGAGTGGCTTTCTTAATTCTTTAAATCACAGCTAGAGGGGATTCACAAAAACTCGTCAGATTTAGAGCAGTGGTTCTCATGTTCGGGTGCTCCTTCACCCATTTTGATAATCTAGTAGGCCGTCGTTACCCCCACCACCTCTCCGACAATCCTAAATTACCCAAAACGGGTAATTTCACTCCTAATGAGAATCACTGTTCTAGACCGTTGTGTTGCTCATTACTGCAATTGATTATGAGTGCATGAAATGCTATTGTCTGTGACATGCTCACTTCATACTGATTCAGATGGATTCTCATTCTTTTCAGACGTGT